AACTTGCCATACATCTCATTCACTTCCTTGCCTAGCATCAAGTCTGTCCAATTATACTCACTAAAAAAATTTCTAAGGTCACCATAATGTCCTCTTCTGAAGTCTGGTTTTTCAACTGCTTCAACCTCCTTATTTTCTTCCAGCTTATAACGCATTGCATACTTTATTCCCAAAAAGACATGGTCACTTTTACCCAAGGGAGGAAGGTACTGAATGTCGAATATCTCTTCCTCCTTCCTGGTAAATATCAAATCTAGCATGGAGGGAACGTCCCCTTCCCTCATCCTCGTAGCTTGTTTAACATGTTGATACAAGAATGTTTCCAGGATGAGGTCTACAAATTTACAGGTCCAAAAATCTTCTGTTTTAGCTTCATATGCTTCCCAGTCTATGGATTTCAAGTTGAAGTCACCGACTATCAACAGTCGTGATCTATCGTTATCCGCTCTCCCTATAATCTCTCTCATTATTGTTATAAGACCTTCACGTTTACTATCTAGCTCCTCCTTTGACCATGTGCTGCTTGGCGGTGGACTATATGCATTTATCATCATTAGTTTATCATCCTCATAGCAGATCTCTAGTGCTATTATGTCAACTTCTTGTGGATTGGCAGTCATTATTTCCTTCACCTTTAGGTGTTCTTTTACCAGCACAGCAATGCCACCGCCTTTCCTAATTTTTCTGTCCCGTCTCCAAATTGAGTAGCCCCTTGGGAATATGACCTCATTTAAAATTACATCTTCAAGTTTTGTCTCCGTGAGTGCAACAATGTCTGGTGTCTGCAGCTGTATTACATCACTTAACTCCAGTATCTTCGATCTCACTCCATCTATGTTGGTGTATGCAATCTTCAGGAACTTGTTCCCCCTCTCCTTATTCTTGTAATAAGTAATTACACACAAGGTGTGTAATACACCTTGTGTGTGTGTATTTATATTTATATAATTTTTCTTTCGGAAAGGGCTCTGTTCCCTTCGCTGTTGACGGGGCGCTGAGGGAGCAGCTTGCTCTGTTGACTCTCGCTTGGTCCCACAGTTAGTGGGCATTTTTGGTTGTCTTCCAGCCTCTGGTGGCGGTGGACGGCTTCTACCCCTTTGGGGGGGTGGGGTTCGGGGCTGGCAGGGTGGGCTTCTTCCGTTGTGCTTCATCATGTCAACTTAGTGGGTGCGTTGGACGTGGTTGATCCGCCCCATCCTGCTGGGGTTTCCGTCTGCTCTATGCAGACACGGGCCTGGCGGATCTGCGGTTCTTCTGAACTTGTTCAGTCTGTGCCCTGGATTCTATGCCCTCATCGGAGGACTGTTGTCTCCGGTCCGGCTTCTGTTGGGGCCGGATGTCTGGATGGTGGCCCCCTGGACCTCCAGGTCACTTCTTGGCACGTTCCTCTCCAGTTTTCTGGGACTGGCACAGTTGGTGGTAGGGCTTCAGGCTTGCCATTTTTGTTGCTTTCTCTAGTTTGTAATTGGCACTTGGTGTATTTACGCATCTTTACCGGATCTTGGTGCCCTGTCTGGGTCTGCTTGGGATTCGGTGTCTGGCTTACCTCGACGACTGGCTGGTGTGGGTTCCCAGTCGGTCCGCTTGTATGCTCACCAGGGGTGTGGTTCTTTCCAGATCGCCGGGTTCGGTTTCCTGGTGATCTGGAGGCCGTTCCATCTGTTTCCGTCCCGGGTTTGGACCTGGCTGGGTCTTGTTTAGGATTCTTGGGCCGCTCCTTGTCTTTCCCTCCAGGAATGTTGCTGCGGCTGTGGTTCAGCCTTCGGCTGTTCATGAGGGGGTCCCGGGTTGCTTGGCGGATGCTCGAGCGGTTGTGCGGGAGTCTGAACTTCGACGTGCTGGTCTGCCCGCAGGGTCGGGTTTGGCTTCGGCGTCTGGTGACTCGGAGCCTTCGGAGACTCCCTTTCCACCTCTCTTGTAGTCGTTGGGTTCGTCCTCCGGGGATCTTGTGTTGGTGCTGTGTCACCAGCTTCCTCTTTGGGGTTTTCGGGGTTCCGTGCCTTGGCAGCTCCCCGAGCCTTCCCTCAATGTGTTCACGGACGGGTCATCTTTTGGCTCGGGCTTTGTGACCAGTGCTCACCAGGTCAGCTGGGGATGGTGTGGTCTGTCCGTCCGTCAAGCTCACAGCACAGTTCGGGAGTTCGTGGCTGTCTGGTTTGCACTTCGGAGGGTTCGGGTCACTCAGTGCTCTACCATCCAGCTCCATTCGGACTGTTCTCTGGCGGTTCTTTGCCGGAACCACAGGGTTTCTCTTAGGTGTTTAACCTTTGGGTTGGTCCCTTCGAGTGGCTCGTTTGCTGGATTCTCAGGGTTTGGCTAACCGTGAGGTTGATGTCCGAGGTGTGTCCTTTGTCCTGGCGGACAGCCTGTCTCAGTTCATTCCTCTGTTCGCGGATTGGCCAGTCGTCGCCGACTCGTTTCGTTGGCTCTGCCGGACGTATGGACTCCTGGCCATGGACATCTTCGCATCGGCGTGGTCCAGGCGTCACCCATTCTATGTGGCGCCTTTATCCGCCTGCGAGGCATTCACAGTGGATGCCTTTTGGCAGGACTGGTCGAGGTGGGGGTACCTGTTCCTCTTCTCCCAGTTCAGCTGTTGCTTCGGGTTCTGGCTCGGTTTGAGCCCATTCCCAAGGAGAATAGTCCTCATGGTCCTTTGGTGGCCGGCCCAGCTTTATTTTCAGACGCTGCTTGATAGGTGTCCGAACCCGGGGCGTTTTCCCGCGGCTCCGCCTCTTTTGGCAGGTCGACTGGTCCTGTACGTTACTGGTTCAGCCTTCTCCTCAGCTCTTCGCGGCTGGTATTTTGACGCGGGTATCACCATCTTTATGGTGATCAGGTGGCTTCATTGATGGTGTCCCACCTGCGAGCTTCGTCTTGGCGATAGTATGATGTTCCTGGTGTTTCTATGCACCGTTTTCATGCTCTTCGTAGGTTGTCTTTTCTTTCGCATTGGGTTGTTTTGTCCTTTCTTGGGTTCTCAGAACTACAGTTATTGGATGTTTCTTACTGTCGCCTCGTTTTGTGCGGCGCTGGCGGAGCCGCTCCGGCTTGCGTTTGGGGTGGCGTCACATCTGCATCCGGCCGACTCATTCGTCACCTGAGCTGTCCTGGTCCTTGATCAGGGTACCCTCTTCTTCTCAGTTTGTGGTAGCCCCTTTGGTTCAAGTTTGGTTTTCATAGACCATATTTTGTTGGCATGGGTCTCTGCAGGTCGGGTCAGGGAGCTTCCGGCTCTTCTGGTGCAGAGGTTTTTGCTCTTTGGTACTGGTGATAAGTGTGTATGTTTGCAGCCTTTCTCAGTCCTTATGGCGACGGCCGAGATGGCTGGTTTCCGGAGGGGTCCTTTGGATTATTGATGCTTGATTGGTTCGGCCGGGGGTGCATCCTGTGTTGTCCGGTAGTGCCTCTTTGCCGTTACCTGCGTACCGTGTCTGGGGATGCGCTTTGGGTTGATCCGGTTCCTCTCGTTCCCTGTTTCAGGGCTTGGGTCTCCCAGTTCGTCCGCAGAGTTTTTAAGTCTTCCAACCTGCGGTCTATCCTTGTGCCTGTACTTTTCGGACGTTTGCAGCTTCGCTGCTGTGTTGGTGATGTCTAGGGCTCATTTCGGGCGCGAGGATTTGAGAGTCGCACAGGTTCCTGGCCGCCCATTCTTTATGAGCGTGTCTGCTCCTGTGCATTCTTGTTGCCTTGGGTCGCAGGTTGCAGCCTTTTGTCTCGGCTTCGCATTGCGGAGTTTGTGGCGGCCGCCTCTCGGGTCAGCCCTTTCTTTTCCTTCTCTTTGGGTATGAAGCTCCAGGGAGCCGTAGGGGCTCCCCACAGAAAACCAACATTGAATGTAATGAAACGCCATTTTCTGGGTGAGCCCCGTAGGCTCTTTGGCAACCCTCCCTCCCACCGGTCGGCGTTTTTTTTCGTGTTGGTTGAAGCTTAACTTCCGAACTGATGCTAGGAAGCCGGTGTAGTGAGGTCCGGGGCTCCCCCCCCTCCCCCTTTCAGAGCGGGGAGACCTGCGCGGACGATCGGCGCGACAGTAAAGTGTGATGTTTGCTTGTTTGCTTGTTTCCTTGGGATTGTAGGGAGTTTCTACCTCTCTGTTCAGTTTTATGTTTTAGTTTTTTACCATGTGGGGTTTGTTTTGTTATGCCTACCTTTCTGGGTGCCTAACCCTGGCCGATGGCAGATAAGGAAAACCCAAACCATAAGGGGGTTTTCCAGGGCCATTGCTCCCTGAAACCTCTCTGAAGGGGTCAGGTTCTGGCGCTGGTCCCTGGTAGGTCTGAACTCCTTAGCTAATGTCCCGGTCTAATATAACATATATTAGCCCGATAAGCTCCAAGGAACCTCCGGGGCTCACCCAGAGAATGGCGTTTCATTACATTCAACGATGATTTTTTGCCAGACTTCCCTACCATATTGCGGCTAAAATATGCCACTTACGATTTTTTTGTTATTCTTTCCATGATCAGGGAACACAAATGAACACTTATAAGACGAAAGAATTTTTTTGGAATTTTTTTTTTGCACCTGTGGGTGTTGAAGCCATTTGGACCCCTCGCTGTTTAAGGGTTAAAGCAAATGAGAAAAAGAAGACACAAGTTAGGGGGGGGGGGGTTGAGTGAAGAGTGGCATTTGTTCATGTAAGAATATTTAGCATTGAATATGCTGTCATTGTGGATACTTTCTTTGGTCACCTACAAGCCATATGTAATTAGTGAAAGTTTCAGTATACATATGGCTACATATCAAATATCGGCTAACTTTCTTGCATTGTGTCTTTGGTGTCAAGTATATTTTGGACTTGAAATATTGTAGATCTTGTATATAGGCATGTTCAAATGTAATCGAAAAGTATAGGTCTGAGATCCCAATACAGTACAGTAGTAACATTGAAGTATTATGTATTGCTTTGCAATTAATGACACGCTATTTGTTTTTAGCTTAGAAAGATAGTATTGGGCTAATTCAAATGATATTTAAAGACTTTATTTGATGTATAGTATTACAGGGCAAGGCCGAGGAAGTTGTATTGCCGGAGAAGGTGGACATTGTTGTGAGTGAGTGGATGGGGTACATGCTCCTCTATGAGACCATGTTGCCCTCGGTCCTTTACGTCAGAGACAAATGGCTCAAACCTGTAAGTAATGAATGCCATTAATAACATCCTTATGCTTTGTGCGTAAGAAGCAACCTCAGATGACTGGATATTTGGCACGATATTAATTGTTTTAAGAAATTTCTAGTGTATAGTTTCCACTAAACAAAAAATTTAAGTTTAAGAAAATTGTTGTTAAATTTTAATGTTATTAACACTGAGAAGTTCATTATGTTATGTACAAAGTTATAAGCAATGGATACTTACAGTATGATGGAAATTTGAGAGAAGATAAAGACATTTTATTGTATGCATTTGAGTTCGGCGTACTACACATTTGTCCCGGCTTGCCATTTTTTTTTTTGTATAATTACTTAGAGCTCAAGTTTTCAAACAGGGTGTGAATCTTTATTGGTTTGGAGTGTGGAACACCAACTTATGTACACATTACATTACTTTAACAATTATTTTATTAGTAAACTGTACTCACGTGAAGAGTTTAAATCGATTTAAGTCACAGTCACTTGACACTGGAAAATGTTATGAAGTACGTAATAACAACTGTTGGCCGACGGCAATATCAACTAGTGTCTGACTAGAACAAACTTCAGTGTTGGAATGATTTGGCGGGCTTCTTTAGGACCTCAGCAGAGTATCTTGGAAGCCAAATTGTCAATGAATGAATGAATCAATGAGAAACGGGCACTGGAGTCTCCTCCAATCATGTAAGCCTAGACATGTCAGCTGTCTAGGAAATTTGATCCCGGTGCCCCTCTTATCTCTCCTTGTGGGCTAGAAGTCACTTTCTACAGTGCTCAAAATAGCCGACTCTGCAACTCCTAGCTGCTATGTCATGCATGCTTCACTCGTCATAATTAACCATACACTGGATATACAACAGCCATTGTGATACCATTATGCTGCTGGCAATGTTGGCTTCCCAGCAGCATCCAACATTCCAGACTAAAGTCCAGACAAATATTTTAGGGGTAGTGCATTAAGGTGTATGTGGGCTCTGGCACTCAAATGCGAAGATTTTCCCTAATGAGTGCACCAAGATGTACACCTCTTAAGTTCCTTGTGGAATCACTTTCTCACTGGTTCATGTCTTAAGATTTGGCCTGGTCCTTGTCCTTTTTTGTTTCCTCCCCATTTTTGCATCTGCTGTTTACAGAAGATGCTAGACCTAGTTCTTTTGGCTGCAGTAGTGGCTTTTGAGCAGCTCGGTTGCCTGTTTTTGCAGTGGGATCCTGCTCCTGCTGCTGGAGGAGGTTTTGGGATAGGTCAACACCTTTTGTTGGTTGGAATAGGCTTCTAGACGAGTCAAATTCCCAGGCCATTGTGCTGCTCTTGGTTGGTGTCATTCTTGCACATCATGTAGGGTTGTGTCATATCTGGGTTCTTCATGCAGTCTTTTTGTTGGCACTATGTAAAGATGTCTAGCTTGTCTTACAAACTCTTGACTCCATGTGTGGCTTTCCAGGTAGTGTTCTTGGGCCTATAGGGAAGGTGGTCCTCCAGCCCATCCTAAGGTTCCCAACGTCAAGAAAATGGTCAATTTAAAGTGGTCTCTCCTAACCTACCAGAGCACCCAAAACAAAAAAATGGGACAGTATGTCACTTTTGCGAGCCTCTTCCATTTTGTAGTGTGACAATTTTTGGCTTTATGTATAGCATATGAGTGAAATGTGACGTTCTTTGTAAGAGAACAGGTTGGGTCCTCAACCTCTCTTTGGGTGTTGGGGTTCAGAGCCGAGCTGTTTACTGTGCAGCTCCTCTCGGTCATCATAGTGGTTGGATGCTGGAGTGGTCAAGTTTACCCCTGGTCTGCAGTGGGTGTTCCGGTTGTTTCCGATCCCCAAGTATCATTTGCCAGACTTGTGGTACATTCTCGACTTTTTGGGTTTGAATCACTTCATTCCTTGTCCAGCTTTCCACGTGACCACCTTAGTTCAGGTCTGCTTGGGGTTGCTGGCAGATTCCTGGATTTATGCGACGTCGATTGACATGTTACTAATCATCCCCAGTTCAGGGACTGGTTGGATTTTGTAATTACCTAAGTGTAGTTACTTAGAGGATGAGAGCTACGCTCGTGGTGTCCCGTCTTCCCAGCACTCTTTGTCATATAACGCTTTGAAACTATTGACGGTTTTGGCCTCCACCACCTTCTCACCTAATTTGTTCCAACCGTCTACCACTCTGTTTGCAAAAGTGAATTTTCTTATATTTCTTCAGGATTTGTGGTGGAGGTGTCAAGCTTACTGCTTCTGGATTCTAACTTTGGCTCGGATCTGGCTCCCCCACATTCACTAGGTGTGGGTGTAGTGTTTTGTCACCTTTGTGCATTAGGGGTTCATGTCTTAACGTATCTCGATGACTGGTTTGGGCTTTGGCCAGTCCCAATGTCTGCAAGCCAAAGATCAGGTTCTTTCCCAGCTCGCCATGTTCAGGTTTCTGGTGAATTAGTGAAAGTTTCATTTGGTTCGATGACAGGGTTTGGACCTGGTTGGACCTGGTCTAGGATTCTCAGCTGACTTTCATCTTCCTTCCACCTGCATCCCTGATGTGTTTAGATGCATGTCTGGTTGGTGGTGGTGAATCTGTGGGTTGCCCATCATTTGCTCAAGCAGCTGTGCAAGAATGAACTTTCCTGCATGGTGTATCCTCTGGGCAAGGTTTGGCTCCAGACACTGTACCATTTTCTTTGGTTCTGTTCCTTTCGCCACTACCAGTACTGTCAAGCTTCTGGTTCACAAATTTCTTCTTCAAGGTTTTATCCTGTGGCTCCCCCCTTCCCCAGCACTCGATCTTTTTTGGATGTTTTGACTTTGGGCTGGGGATTTGTGGCCAGCACTCATCAGCCACTCGGGATCATTGGATGGGTCTGTTGAGTTAGGCACACAGCATGGAGCACAAGTTTGCAGCCATCTGGCATGCTCTACGGTGGCTTTTGTCTCCCAGTGGGCTCTGTGGTCCAGCTGCAGTCCAACTGCTCCCTGAGGAAATTTGATCCCAGTGCCCCCTCATCTCCCCTTGTGGGCTGGAAGTCACTTTCCACTTTCACTGGTTCATTGTCTGAATCACAGTGGTGGGGGGTCCCTATGGTCTCTCTCTTGTGGGGCTGGACTCTACGAGTAGCTTGTCTTCTGGATTATCTGGGTTTCGCTCCGTATTGTTCACATTTAAGGCACTTCGAATGTTTTGACAGACAGTCTCTCAACTTTGCCCCATCACCATGGAGTGGGCCCTAGATGACATGTTATCTTGGCTTTGAGACATACAGCTACCCTGAGGTGGACTACTTCGCGTTGGTGTGGAACCAGCACTATGTGAGTTCCATCTACTAAACACAGTAGATGCCTTCTGGCTGGACTGGGGATAATGGTGGTTTCTTTATCTCTTCCCTCCAGTTCACCTGTTGCTTCAGGTTCTGTTTAGACAAGAAGTTTTTCTTGCAGGGTTCTGTTGGGTCTTCTTTGGCTGGCCCAGCCATAGTTTCTGGTCCTTTGGGCTTGTTGTCCAAACCCATGTTTTTTTTAACTGTTAGGCCCAGAGATGTTTTTGGTGGTTTGAGGATCTCTTCCAATCTACACGTTTAGAGTTTTTGACCTGTTTACTGCTCATTGTGTGGTCTGTAGATGACAGGTTTTTTTAGGGTCTCGCCTGCATACCAGAATTACAGATACCTGTGGTGGTCGTTGTACTGACAGCATAAGTTTTCTTGGTGTTCCTTCCATCTTTTGACTTCTCTTTGTTGCTTGTCCTGATTTTCTGTACCTTTCATTTTTGTCTTGGTTCTTTAGGCTTCTCATGCTGAGCACTCATTTCAGTACTGACCTTGTCTCGTTCAGCCATGGTAGAACCAATACTATTGGTGTCGGTGTTGACTCATCGTCGACCCTGTTTCCAGTTTTCTCTGGCACTTTTTCACTTACAGCCTGTTCATGCTCCTCCTAAGCTGGCTCAGTCTTTGGATAAGGTTTTGGTTTTCTCTCTCTACCTCAGTTTTCTGTTGCCCATTTGATCCAGGATTGCTCTTCAAGGCTGTGTATTCATTGGCCCTCACTTCCAGTTGTCAGGTTAGGGAGTATCACTCTCTCCTCCAGCAAACTGTCCTCCTACAAGGAACGTCACTTTTCGCTCATATGCGTTACATAAGGCCAAAAATTCTCGTACTAGAAAATGGAAGCAGTTGGTGAAAGTGACGTACTGTCTCATTTTCTGTTTGGGTCCTCTGGTAGGCTAGGAGAGGACATTTTAAATTTGACTGTTTTCATGATGTTGGGAAACCTTAGAAGGATGGGCTGATTGACAATCTCACTCTCTGCTGTCAGAATGATGACTCCAATGACAGCTCCAAAGAAGGTGCCAAGCCAGGGAGACTTTGTGCCTTCTTTTGATTATTACTTGCATTTGATGCAGTATCGTCCTGTGCCACCAATCATGGCTTTAAGTTCTCTACAACTAAGACTACTGCTTTGACTTTTACTCGGAAGCAGGTTGTTTTTCGTCCACCATTGTCGCTTTAAGATAGTTCCCTTCTGTATAAAAATTGTGCTAAACTTTTGGGGTTGATCTTTGACTCCCATTTGTCTTGGTCACCTTGTATCTCGTATCTCTTACCTTAGAATTGAGTGCTTGAAGGCCCTTACCTTACTTAAATTGTCCTACACTTCCTGGAGAGCTGATAGCTGTCCTGCCTACCCCTCTGCCTCTTTGACTCAACTTCATCTTGATGCTCTGCACTACACTGGATTATGCCTCGGCTCTGATGCCTTTCATTCATCCCTTACCCTGAACCTGTATGCTGAAACCAGTCATGTGTCTACAGGATCATTGTGATCGCTACCTTGCGTGGTCCCTGCAACATCCTCACTTTCTCTTATGCCGTGCTTTGACTGTTGCCCCCTCATGTGGGTCCTGTTCCCTTTCACCACCACCTTTTTTTCTGTACTGATGTCGTACTGCAAGATTCCCTCTCAGTTCATGTTTGCAATATATCTCCGTGTGTCGTTCCATCATTGCCCCCTTTGGAGGATCCCAGTTGGAAAGATTTGCAAGACCTTGACCCCACATGGTAAAGGCTTCTACCTCTCCTACAGTTATGAAATGCCTTTTCCTTGAACAATTTTTCCTCACACTCTTGCTCCTTTGCCCTTGTCACAGACAGATCTAAGTCTACTGACAGTGGACTTGTCTTTCCTCACCAAACCTACATGTGCCACCTACCTCCCGAGATTAGCATCTTCACGGCGGAAATTTATGCAATCTTGTATGCACTTTGCCAACTGCTTTCCCGACGTCAGTGTTCCTTTGTCATTGTGGTCGACTCCCGCAGTGCCCTCGTGGCCCTGGAGTCATTTATCCTAATGCCTCCTGTGGTGGTAAAAATTCAGCATTTGCTGTTTATATCTAGCAGATTTAAGTCAGGCGAGTTTTGCTAGGTTCCCAGCCCTATTGGTATTACCTTAATGAACGTTCGGATACTACCATTAAGAAAGCTGTCCACACTTGTCCTATTTCCACAAAAGACATTCCTTATTCAGATTTCTAGACATTCATTCCTCAATTGTTGGTGTGAGGTCACAGGTAACAAACTGTGCATGCTTGAAAGTAACCTATCTCCTTGACCTTCCTCCTGCCACCATAATAGACAGTGGGAAATGGCTTTGGCTAGGTTACCTATTGGCCATACACGCTTACCTCATGGACATTTAATGGAATGCCACCCTGCTGCTGCTTGTCCAAACTGCATTTTCCCATTCACAGTTGTGTACCTCCTTGTCTAATGTTCTGATTTTCAAGACGATCCTATGTCTTGTTTTTGTAATGTCCCTCAACAAAATCCTTGATGAATCCGATACCTTTGATATCGCTCACCTTATGTGCTTTTGTTCCTGTATTTGGTGTCCCCTGTGATATTTAGCACCTTTTGAATATGCCTGCAACCCTGTTGGTGCTACATAGTCTCCCTGGCTTGATGCCTTCTTTTGATAATTACTTCCAGACTGGGGGATTTGCACCTTTGATCTTGGAGTAGTGCTCTTCACTTGCTGCCGCCTTCTTCCTTTTTGGCTAAGAATGAGATGACTAGTTTTTAGAGGAAATCCTTTGGTGATTGATGCCTGGTTAGCCTGAGGGGTGCATCATTTGTTATGTCTAGTTGCTGCCATTTGCTGTTGACCTCTGTGTCACTAGTGATACATTATGGGGGGGGGGTGCTCTGTGGTCTGCCCCGGGCTTGTGTGGTTTTTGGGCAGTTGACTCATCACTAACTCCTGTTTCTCGGGGGCTACATTCCATGGCTTTTCTCCACCCTTGATGAGTGCCCCTTTTGTTTTTCCTTCCATGGGGACACAGCAACAGGGACCTACATAGGAACCCTCCCAAAAAAACAAGCGCTAAATGTAATGAAGCACATCTTTCTGGTGCATCCTTAATGGCACCTTGGGGGGCTCCTTGGGACCCTACCTTCCCCATTCAGGGGGTTGGTTTTTCCATCTCCCTAACTTAACGACCGAGGTGTCGAGGCTTGGGGATCGAGGAGGAAGGAGGCGCTGTTCCTTGGTGGTGTGTAGGCAGAACTGTCAAGAGAACTGCTTCATGACTGGGTGATTTGTGTGTGTTGTGGCTTTACTGTCCTGTTGTCTATGCTTTGTTTACCTTGGCTTTCCATTCACCTGGGCTGTAAGACACTCGAACTGCGGACCCCATGTGTGTGTGAGGCCGAAGCTCTCTCTTATATTTTATCCTGGCTGTTTGTATGTTTTGGCTCGATCACCTTTCTGTTTTTTTTTTTATGGGTAGGGTGATCTAGAATCCCTGCTCCCTATACCATTTAGAAGGCAAGCAGGTTTTTGCCTCTTGTTCCCAGTAGGCATATATGACATACAAGGGCCTGGCAAGGATTGTGTTGCATGAAACTTGCCATGCAGCAATTACCAAAGGAGCCACCGAGGACCAACCAGAAATAGGCATTTCATTACATTCAGTGGTATTTTTATGCATTTTCATTCTTATCTTTCATTGGACAATTCCATCCTGCCTTTATCACCCTCTCTACTAATGCTCCTTTATCACCAGGCTGCGCTCGTGCCACACAGATCATAACCTGAGATATTTCTGTTCGGCACTACAGTACCTCCTAAAATTATCACTTTTAATTATGACCAAACCACACACCAGAAGATGAGAAGACGACGACATTTTGGTCCGTTCCGGACCATTATCAAGTCAATTGTGATAATGATCACAGTTGACATGATAATGGTTCATGTCATTTGCTGTTGACCTCTGTGCCACTAGTGATACATTAGGGGGTGCTCTGTGGTCTTGTTGCTGCCATTTGCTGTTAACCAACATCCGAACCATCATCAGGTCGATTATGATAATGACCACAGTCGACATGATAATGGTCCAGGACGGACCGAAACATCGTCGTCTCCTCATCTTATGATGTGTGGTCTGGTCATCATACCTTCAGCCACGTTATTGTGACTCATCATCTGCATAGTGCTTTTTAATAACATTTTAATAGGTTTTAGGACATTAAGCCCTTATAACAAATAGGTTTTGTAAATAAATTTCTGAAGGTAAATATTGTTTATTTGACTTTCATTTTGTCTTCTGTAATAATTCAAATGTAATGGGCCTTGTGTTGCATACAGGGGGGCAAAATGTATCCGGAGAGAGCGGCACTGTACATGGCTCTGGGTGAAGCACAGTGGATTACCAAGTACGAGGAAGGAACGTACGACTTTTGGGTTTCCCTCAACCATGTTTACAACATCGACATGTCTCTCTTGGCTGACCATGCTGTTGCCAGATACAAAGGTACAAATTATATTGAGTGTTTTCTTAGCTGTGGCCAATTGTCATTTCTGTTTTTTATTATATAAACCAAAGCCAACAAAATTCACGAAGAGATGGTAAGCATTTTAAGTATACTGTATTTAAAAAATGCTGCATTCAAAGTAAATAAATATTTTTCAATTTAAATTTAAAAAAAACAAAATTCAATTTACATTAGAGCATATGGTTGTAATAAAGAGAATAATTGTGTGACCCCTTAGAGAGTTGGTGTGGTGTTGGGCGGGGCTGATGGAGTGCCGGTGTGTTGACAAGTCTTTACTGAGGGCTCATGGCCACACCATCACTTCTGTTGAGCAGCACATCACGACTCCACCTGGTCTGTACTGCTGCACACCACCACCACTACACCAGTACCGTCCAGCCACATGCCTCCACTACACCAGTACTGTCCAGCCACATGCCTCCACTACACCAGTACCGTCCAGCCACATGCCTCCACTACACCAGTACTGTCCAGCCACATGCCTCCACTACACCAGTACTGTCCAGCCACGTGCCTCCACTACACCAGTACCGTCCAGCCACATGCCTCCACTACACCAGTACCGTCCAGCCACATGCCTCCACTACACCAGTACCGTCCAGCCACATGCCTCCACTACACCAGTACCGTCCAGCCACATGCCTCCACTACACCAGTACCGTCCAGCCACGTGCCTCCACTACACCAGTACCGTCCAGCCACATGCCTCCACTACACCAGTACCGTCCAGCCACATGCCTCCACTACACCAGTACCGTCCAGCCACGTGCCTCCACTACACCAGTACTGTCCAGCCACATGCCTCCACTACACCAGTACCGTCCAGCCACGTGCCTCCACTACACCAGTACCGTCCAGCCACATGCCTCCACTACACCAGTACCGTCCAGCCACGTGCCTCCACTACACCAGTACCGTCCAGCCACATGCCTCCACTACACCAGTACCGTCCAGCCACATGCCTCCACTACACCAGTACCGTCCAGCCACGTGTCTCCACTACTCTAGTCCCGTCCAGCCACATGCCTCCACTACACCAGTACCGTCCAGCCACATGCCTCCACTACACCAGTACCGTCCAGCCACATGCCTCCACTACACCAGTACCGTCCAGCCACATGCCTCCACTACACCAGTACCGTCCAGCCACATGCCTCCACTACACCAGTACTGTCCAGCCATGTGCCTCCACTACACCAGTACCGTCCAGCCACATGCCTCCACTACTCTAGTCCCGTCCAGCCACATGCCTCCACTACACCAGTACCGTCCAGCCACATGCCTCCACTACACCAGTACCGTCCAGCCACATGCCTCCACTACACCAGTACCGTCCAGCCACATGCCTCCACTACACCAGTACCGTCCAGCCACATGCCTCCACTACACCAGTACTGTCCAGCCACATGCCTCCACTACACCAGTACTGTCCAGCCACATGCCTCCACTACACCAGTACTGTCCAGCCACGTGCCTCCACTACACCAGTACCGTCCAGCCGCATGCCTCCACTACACCAGTACTGTCCAGCCACATGCACTACACCACTACACCAGTACCTGTCCAGCCACATGCCTCCACTACACCAGTACCGTCCAGCCACATGTCCAGTCCAGCCACATGCCTCCACTACACCAGTACTGTCCAGCCACGTGCCTCCACTACACCAGTACTGTCCAGCCACATGCCTCCACTACACCAGTACTGTCCAGCCACATGCCTCCACTACACCAGTACCGTCCAGCCACATGCGTCCACTACACCAGTACTGTCCAGCCACGTGCCTCCACTACACCAGTACCGTCCAGCCACATGCCTCCACTACACCAGTACTGTCCAGCCACATGCCTCCACTACACCAGTACCGTCCAGCCACATGCCTCCACTACACCAGTACTGTCCAGCCAAATGCCTCCACTACACCAGTACTGTCCAGCCACGTGCCTCCACTACACCAGTACTGTCCAGCCACATGCCTCCACTACACCAGTACCGTCCAGCCACATGCCTCCACTACACCAGTACTGTCCAGCCACATGCCTCCACTACACCAGTACCGTCCAGCCACGTGCCTCCACTACACCAGTACTGTCCAGCCACGTGCCTCCACTACACCAGTACCGTCCAGCCACATGCCTCCACTACACCAGTACCGTCCAGCCACGTATCTCCACTACACCAGTACTGTCCAGCCACGTATCTCCACTACACCAGTACTGTCCAGCCACGTGCCTCCACTACACCAGTACCGTCCAGCCACGTGTCTCCACTACACCAGTGCTGTCCAGCCACGTGTCTCCACTACACCAGTACCGTCCAGCCACATGCCTCCACTACACCAGTACCGTCCAGCCACATGCCTCCACTACACCAGTACCGTCCAGCCACATGCCTCCACTACTCTAGTCCCGTCCAGCCACATGCCTCCACTACACCAGTACCGTCCAGCCACATGCCTCCACTACTCTAGTCCCGTCCAGCCACATGCCTCCACTACTCTAGTCCCGTCCAGCCACATGCCTCCACTACACCAGTACCGTCCAGCCACATGCCTCCACTACTCTAGTCCCGTCCAGCCACGTGTCTCCACTACACCAGTATTGTCCAGCCACGTGTCTCCACTACACCAGTACCGTCCAGCCACGTGTCTCCACTACACCAGTATTGTCCAGCCACGTGTCTCCACTACACCAGTATTGTCCAGCCACGTATCTCCACTACACCAGTACTGTCCAGCCACGTATCTCCACTACACCAGTACTGTCCAGCCACGTGTCTCCACTACACCAGTACCGTCCAGCCACATGCCTCCACTACACCAGTACCGTCCAGCCACGTATCTCCACTACACCAGTACTGTCCAGCCACGTATCTCCACTACACAAGTACTGTCCAGCCACGTGTCTCCACTACACCAGTACCGTCCAGCCACATGCCTCCACTACACCAGTACCGTCCAGCCACGTATCTCCACTACACCAGTACTGTCCAGCCACGTGTCTCCACTACTCTAGTTCCGTCCAGCTGCACACCACTGAAAAAAAATGGTTCTGTCCAGCTGCATGCCACTAATTCACCAGTCCTGTCCAGCTGCACTCCACTAGTCCCATCCAATAGGTGAAGTACAGGAACACATAGGCACGAGAAAGCACTTAAACTACTGGGATCGTCTCAAAGCTCTCAAACTGTATGGAAGGAAATGCAGAATAGAGCCAATGAAGTGTAGAAGTGCCATTGACTCAATCGGCAACCATTGAATGAATGTTCCACGGTTGTTCAGTATCCTCCCGCAAGTATAAGAAATATTGACAGAAGAAAAGTGGAAGTCTTCAAGAAAAACTGCTCAGTTTTCTGCAAGAAGTGCCAGACCAACCAGGCCGTGGTGGATGTGTGGGCCTGCGGGTCGCTCCAAGCAACAGCCTGTTGGACCAGGCTCTCACAAATATGTCACAAGCCTTAGGGAGAACAACAATTCCCAGAACCCCACCTAGGTATAATCTATTTACCAGTCCCATCCAGCTGCTCACCACCGCTCTATTGGTGCTGTCGAGCTGCATGCTACTACTCTAACAGTTTGAGTGGTGTTGTACAGCCCAGTCACACACCTTCAGAGTACAGGTGAGATTGGTGCAGTGGTAAAGACTCGCCTATTACATACCAGCAATCCCCCCATACTTCTTTTATATACTTACTGTTTTACATAATATTGATTTTACTCATAATATATGTCTGTCATATTAACTATTAATGTTTTTTCCAGATGTGGTTCATGTGCATATGGTGGCTCAGGAAGATGTATTAAGCTTACCAACACAACTGTGTGACTTAAATCTCATGACAATTAGTGCGGATGATTTGCGTAGCATATCAAGGACTTTCACGCTGTCTAGCATGGGATCACGACGACTGAACAGTATGGTACTGTGGTTTGACGTTTGGTTCCCAGGAGGATTAAAGTTGTCAACGTCTCCAGATCACGAGGATACACACTGGCAAAATACAGTGCTGCCTCTTGCCACTGCTCCTCTAGAGCAAGATACTCAAGTTAAGGGAGAACTTAATATAACACAAGATCTCACAAATCATCGTTTTCTAAATGTGGACTTGAAATATTCTGTAGATAAAGGTGAAGAAATCACCCGTTCCTTTAAGATGGACGACAATTGTAATGATAATGACTTCTGAGTTTGGGCTCGCTCTTTGTCACCAACTCTAGTCTGTCATTTGACAGAAAATCAGAAACGACTCCAAGTCTTATGTTGGAAGAAAATTAAGGAATCATTCACAAATTGTATTTGTTTTGACGATGAAGCTGATGCCAAGCATTTAGATTTTGAGATAGGTAGGGATAGAACAATATTAAAAACACTAGGAGAAATACAAATTTAAAGCTTACGGTGGCAAATTAATAACCTAACCTACACATGAAAACTTTGAAAGGGAAAAGAAATTGACAATGTTCTGGTCTGTCCTGGACTCTTGTAAAGTAGCCATAACCTTTATGAGAATCCATCCAGAATAAACTGAAACATTGTCACTTTTCATTTGTGTAGGTTACATTATTAATTTTCATCCATGATATTGTGACTTATTCTCTGCTTGTAGTGGTAGTTCATGTCCTAGCAGAATTACAGAGGAACCTCAGGGGGACAAAAAAGCCCATCTATGATCATTTCAGGTAACGAGCAGAAAATTTGTCTCGATTGACGAGCTTCTGCTCGGTTAACGAGAAAACCATGCGATGCTTTCTAGCGCTCCCGCTGGTTCACGCAAATTCTCGAACATCTCCGATGACAGTGTTGTTATTTTATCACGCAGGATAAGCATCCCTCTGCATTAATTTGTGTTCTTTGTTTTTTGTGGTTATGTGACTACAATTTGTAACCCACGATGTCGCCAAAGAAGCTCCACGTTTCACACGATAAGCTCCGTGCCGGAACTGATTAAATTTGTTAACCGAGGTTCCTCTGTATTTCCCATCATAACATATTTAGAGGATCTTGCTTGCATCTGGTCATATATTAGAAAATGACATGAGAATACGGTTCAATCATAGTTGTAGAGAGGAAATATTGGAGCTGTATGATGGGATTGAATCCATATCAATCAACTATTCAAGTACATGCACTATGAACTGAAAATTTTTTCAGCAGTACACGTTCCTGAGGAGTTCAGGGACGCAGGTTCAGTCCCATCGTACAGCTCCAATATCATCTTATACATCTATAGATATATCATGTTCTTGAGATTGAATTCTTCATAGCTGTAGTTACATCAAGATCTCTCTTCCAAAGAATCATTATATAAGAGTTATGTGATTCTTGCCTTTGTTAAGGTCACGCTTACCTCCTGTGCAGGTCTTTCACTTGGGTACAATCATTTCCCTCTCGCAAGATTTTAATCTCCACAGTGGACCATGTTTCACCTGACAGTGGACCATGTTTCAGCTGACAGTGGACCATGTTTCAGCTGACAGTGAACCATGTTTCACCTGACAGTGGACCATGTTTCAGCTGACGGTGGACCATGTTTCAGCTGACAGTGGACCATGTTTCAGCTGATGGTGGACCATGTTTCAGCTGACAATGGACCATGTTTCAGCTGACAGTGGACCATGTTTCAGCTGACAGTGGACCATGTTTCAGCTGACAGTGGACCATGTTTCAGCTGACAGTGGACCATGTTTCAGCTGACAGTGGACCATGTTTCAGCTGACAGTGGACCATGTTTCAGCTGACAGTGGACCATGTTTCAGCTGACAGTGGACCATGTTTCAGCTGATGGTGGACCATGTTTCAGCTGACAATGGACCATGTTTCAGCTGACAATGGACCATGTTTCAGCTGACAGTGGACCATGTTTCAGCTGACGGTGGACAATGTTTCAGCTGACGGTGGACCATGTTTCAGCTGACAGTGGACCATGTTTCAGCTGACAGTGGACCATGTTTCAGCTGATAGTGGACCATGTTTCAGCTGACAGTGGACCATGTTTCAGCTGACAGTGGACCATGTTTCAGCTGACAGTGGACCATGTTTCAGCTGATGGTGGACCATGTTTCAGCTGACAATGGACCATGTTTCAGCTGACAATGGACCATGTTTCAGCTGACAATGGACCATGTTTCAGCTGACAGTGGACCATGTTTTAACTGCATGTGTGTCATCACAAGGGTAAGTTTTCAGTACAAATCACAGTGTGGTATAATTGACAATGCCTTAAACTTGCCTATTGATGTGTGTGTGTAAGCTATTTTCTATGTCAATTTATAACACCAGCAGCTATATATTGGATGATATTGCAGTCGGTGCAATTCATGCCGTCCATACAGAAGTGTTGTGTGTGTGTGTTGCTTAATACATGTGAATTGATTTACAATTTTTTATTAGTGATATTATTTACAAAATAATTGGTTTTAGTTATTCAAAGAACTTTAGGGTAGGGAAATGAAAGTGCAGTACTGTATTTTGGGGAGTGAATTGAAAGTACAATACCTTATTTTCATTTAGCATTTCTGTTCAGAGTTAATGAAACAAAATAGACCAAAATTTGGCATCACTGAGGGTCTTGATAAATGAATTTAAATATTGGGTGTTTGAAAAGCTAGTATATCTTGCGATGATTTCAGGGCTCAACGTCCTCGCGGTCTGGTCCCCGACCAGGCCTTCTGGTTGCTGGACTGGTCAACCAGGCTGTTGGATACGGCTGCTCGCAGCCTGGCGTATGTATCACAGCCTGGTTGATCAGGTTAATACAGAGGTATAGAGTCTTAAGTTTTATGTATGACTGAACAGCTGACATTATATATACTGTAATAATAAGTATTTTTGAAAGTGAGAATTGCATAGAGCAGAAACCAAGTTAGACTGGAAAATGAGAATGAAAATGAGAAAATACAGTAGTTAAAGGAAATAATGAAGGTGTATAGGTATGTGCCAAACTAAGTGGTGGTGATATATGGCAGTGTGTGATTGAGAATACAATAGGTAGTAAACAAAATATAATATATAGATGGATAAGGTGAATCATTTGTTGGATGAAATGGAATTTACAGGAGACATTCCTGCAAGCTTTATTAAAGTTGACGTACTGTAGCTTTGGCTTAACACTAATATGTCGTTGTGAGAGCATCATCATGCCTAAATGAACACTAGCTTTAGTGGGGGAGAGAATATGCTAATAAGTAGAGAGGCCTTATAGATTACTTTAAAATTTGTAGCAAATATTGAAGAAATTTTCTAATTGTGTGGAGTTTTTATATCATTGAGAGCCATTTAATGATACCTATTAAACCTCATATACAGTAGTGATGTAATCGACCAATCGGTCAAAATTGCAGGGTTTGGGTAAAAATGTGAATTAAAAATTCACATTTTCAGAACATTGTTCTTGATAGGTTAGGTGGGTTGCTTGGGTTCGTACATTTCCGGCTAGGCAAAGCTTAAGTCTGTATGACGGACACAAGAGAAAAACTACATTATCCTGATATATCAGTGAGAAAATCCACAGGAGCTGTGAAGAGGATTCGAACCTATGCACTGGGTATTCCCAGATGCACGCCCTAAATGACTATGCCACAACATGGTAATTTATCACTGCGTAGCCTAGTCGTTCAGAGTGTGCGTCTGGGAATACCCGGCTCATAGGTTCGAATCCTCGTCACGGCTCCTGTGGGTTTTTCTCTGTGTATAAAGTGTCAAGTCGTGAGAACGGTTTGTTTAATGTGTGCGTCGAGCCCAAATATGGTTGACGCTCATTGTATGGTGTGGAGTTATTGGGAATATAAATGTTTATTTAGTGTTCTCAAGGCAAGTGCTGACATGCCATTATCTGCCAGTAAGACATTTTTGTACATTTTCCAGTGAAAAGCATTTAATTTATTCCACATATTTACTTTATCCCCACAACATTTAACAGCCAGATATGCCATTCTTTAGATATTTACCTTACATTTAGAACATTTTATGGAGAACAAAAATTGTTTGCAATATTTAATATCAAAGATGGTGAATAAAAGTTTTAAGTTAAAAGATTCTTATTGCTTTAATTAAAATATGCCATACAGTAACTAGTGTAATTATCAACAGAAATTACAAAGCATGGTAGACTATATACTGCAGCATATGTCATGATACAAGTTGTATTCTAAAGTGCCTAAATATAATTGGGGATGTCAATGTGAGATGAGGGATGTCAAAGGAATCGGATGCACCGAGAAGTTCATGGAGGGACACGAGATCATAAGGAACAATGGAAAAGCAACATTTTCATCATCCTGAAAATGAGACATTCTACGAGTTGTCATAAGTGACGAGTGCCATAAAGTGAGACCAAAAACTAGTCCATTAAAAAAAAAAAATTACTAAACTTGTTATTAGCAAATTATATAAGCAGATGTATACATATGGCAATGTATACCTGCAGATGTATGTATACATATTGTGTACATTTCAATACAGTTTGCATATTAATATAGAGTACTACGTTAGACCTTTGGTTAACCTCTGTACTGCGCGTTAGTTGAAGGTGACAATCCCGTGGCGCATCTAAACAAATTTATTCCCTTTTTTTTTTTTTCCTTAAATTGCTTAAATCCTTTCTCTGATTACATACACAATACAAGTGAAGAAATTACACTTACTTTGACTGCAGTGAAGCAGAGACTTTGGTGCGTGACGCCACTAAATGCCGGACACTTCTGATGGTCTTCAGAAGTGGGTCGCATGGCCAATTAAAGCCCCGCAAGTTTCCACACATTTTTATTTGTCATATATTATCAGTTGCTTTTTAGTGTTTTCTTAGTTTTTTGTTTAGTTTTTTAGTTTTTTTTTTGCTTATCTTATGTACGTAAATATCATTTACAATGTCTATACAGTAGAACGGGTGTGTCCATACTATTTAGTAACACATGAAGAAAAATAGCCTTGTTGTGATTGTTATGCTCTGTGGGATGTTTAGCGACCATTGTCCACAGGTGGCTGAGACAGGTGCCAGGTTTACTAATGTTTGGACGGCCACACCGTAGGAGCTATATCATATCATATTACAAGTCATATCATATTACAAGACATGGTATGTTGGTACTTTTTAAGTGATGTTTTCATATTGTTTGACAACTTAGTTTTGTAGTTCTTCCCATGCATGCAGACACAAGCAAGCCTGATGGATGCCCATTGTTGGTGTCTCATATTTCAGAAACCACCGACCTAAATTTGTTATTAACCACTGCACTGCACACCTGGTTTCAGCAAAAACTTCATAGTGCCATTAAGGCCTTTTTTTTTTATGAATGTTCAGGTAAAGTTAATGTCAAAATGTTTCCAAACTCAACCATTTTCATTTCAAAACAAAAAGAGTGATGAAAACATTAAAATATAACCCTAATAAAAAAGGCAACTTTGAGTGCCTTAAGGGGCTCTGTACAGTGTGTTCAGCATTTGTAACACTTTGGAAATACAGCACAGAACTTTGTTTTAGTGTTCAGAAATGGTGGACAATTACGGGACCAAGCTCAGGACACCTTTATCACCCATAATGCACATTTCTCGGTGCATTGGGGACCCAGTAATTGTGGAAATATTAATGTTATATATTCTAACAGGTTTCTTTAAGTTTCATGTTTCATTGTATTTTGCAACTATACTGTATTTACCAAGTATTGGCATTATTTTTTGATTTAGTTAAATGCATGGGTGAAGGTGCTATAATTCTGTGAGCCACCAATGTCCAGAGACTGGCAAAATAACCCCACTGTGGTTGTAATTTGGTCACTACCCGTAGGCAAAGCTGGACAAATGACATTGATGTAACATTGAAGCAACGTTGATCCTATTTTTTTATCTGATGTTACTCAAATAAGTTTTACTTGCTGGGTACAGTCGGATTTGTATCAGAGGTATAAACATCACGCAGTTCTGCCTTGTAGTAATATAGATAAAATTGGATTTTAGCGAGGGAACACAGAAAATGGTGCGATCTACTCAAAATAGTCATATGACCAACCATTAATTCTCTAATGATGAGACAGACATACTTAATGTATGAGCACAAGAGCTTTATTACAATATTAAGACAATTTAAGGATACTTATATCAGATTTAAAGTTGATGAATAGATCACAATATAATTATATATTGTCTGTATAACATATAGTAAAATGCAGCAGGAATAATAGAAATGTATTACTGTTTACCCATATTCTCTGTAAATAGGATTTTGCATTATGTTACCATGTACTGTACGTGCATCCTCTCAACCTTGCTATTACCATTATCATGCTAAAAAAGATATGATTTTTTTTCTCTCCACTTTTATAAAACCAGCGTTGAATGTAATGAAACACCAGTTTCTGGGTGAGCCCCGATGACTCCCCGAAGGGAATATACTGATATGGTACCATCGACTAGGTTGCATCAGCTGGGGAGTTCTATAGGACCCCCTCACAGAAGCGCAGGGAGCTGTGACACATTTATTTTTGCCACCACACCTGGGAAGGCAACCAGAAAGTTAACGAGTCAAAATGAACCACTGCTGGCTTCAATACAGCTCAATGCCCACTGAAAGAATCCCCCCCCCCCTCTCAGAACTAGCATGAACTCGTTTGCCCCACCTCCCCCCACTTGTTTGTGGGGAGGGGGGTAGTAGGCCACTGCCAGCTGGCACCTCTACCCTCAGTTCTAGGACAGATGTAAGCATCAACCAAACGACCTGGAAGGGAGGCAGAGGATCAGGGAGCCCCAGCAAGAAATTGGCATTTCATGACATTCAAAGTAGATTTTTTAGGGTTATCTTGAGATGATTTGGGGGCTTAGTGTCCCCGCGGCCCGGTCCTCAACCAAGCCTCCTTTTTGTTACACACCCCCAGGAAGCAGCCCATAGCAGCTGTCTAACTCCCAGGTACCTATTTACTGCTAGGTGAACAGGTGCATCAGGGCGAAAGAAACTATGCCCATTTGTTTCCGCCTCTGCCGGGGATAGAACCCGGAACCTTGGGACTACGAATCCCAAGCGCTGTCCACTCAGCCGTCAGGCTCTCCCACAAGGCAGAGCCCCTTGTGGCTCCCTGAAGCTAACTACCCATGGAGAAGGAAAACACAGCGGAACTCACCAGGGAGGACAAGGCACCGCAGGACACGGTGGATAAAGACACTAGCATGGCTGGCAGACTCACAGGGGGGACACAGGTGGAAACTTAACTCAAATAAGCCACAGGGACATTTGAGATCATTTTTTTCAGTGTCAGAGTGGTTAACAAATGGAATGCATTAAGCAGTGATGTGGTGGAGGCTGACTCCATATACAGTTTATAATGTAGATATGATAGCGCCCAATAGGCCCTTAAACCTGTATACCAGTTGGCTGATGGTTAAGAGACCAAAGAGCTCAACCCCTGAAAGGACAACTAGGTGAGTACAGGAGTAAAGACAAAAAGGAGACTCCTATCTGAGAAAGATGACCCAAGGCCGCCAGAACCCTGTACGACCTCCAAATATCAGCCCGGGACATGTTTGTAAACATTGCTGACAGAGCGGCATACTTCCTAACATCATGGGCACGAGGGTAGACTGCAGGCGGGCTACAGTAGTTGGACATATTTTGAGAGGTTTCAAGGCTTTAGTCACTTGTTGAAGCCAGCAGAGTGGTTTGTTTCGACTTGCTGATTTTCTGGTTACCTTACCCAAGAGGTGGGGAAAATAAATGCCAGTGCTTCCTGTGCCTCTGTCAGAGGGAAGGACCAGGTTCTGGCCCCGGTAGGCCTTTAGAACTCCGCAGCTGATGCCACCTAGTAAATGCTGCCATATCAGTATAGAGTAACTTCAGGGACCCACAAAAGGCTTCCCCCAGAAAAACAGCTGTATTTGTACATGAACTATGTTATATATGTTTGGCCTTGTGCTCTTTGTGGCAGAAAAGTGTCTCAACAATTATTACTTAATATTTGATAAATGTTAAAAATAAATTTGTTATGGATTGTGTTTGTATTTATTGTATACCAATACACTACTGTATAATGCAACTGTTTCTTAAGTGCATCTGGTATCTCCCCCGTGTCCAAGCTCTTCCTCCACACTATACTGAGTGCCTGTGCTACTGGCACTTTGCATTTCTTTATAATTATTGAATTCCATGAATCTGGACCCAGAGCCGAGTGTATGGGCATGTTTTCAATTTCTCTTTCAAAGTCTAGTACGCTCGTGTTGATATCAGTTATTCTGATCAGGGAGAAAAAACAAGCGAGGAGTGGGGGGACCTTAATTTATTTAGTAATGTTTACAGAGCAACTGCTGTACCACAATAAAAGATGTCGTGTAACATGACTGAGTAGAATGCCAGTACTGCAAAGATGCAACTAAGGGAATGAGTCGAAGGACATTAACCGTGCCTAAGCAATGTTGCAGTACTCGCAATCAGCTTAATACTATAATTAAAAACAATGCCAGAGGTAATTGAGTGACACAGCCAGTACAGTATGTATAAAATATATTCTGTATACACAGAGGGCATATAAAAGAATAGATAAGAATTTCCAGGGGTAATGATATGCTAGTGCCTAGTTTATACATGTAAAGTCTGCAACCCCCAACTTGCACTACAAGAGAGCACTTGACATATGGAAGTAGCTGCGGGCAGCCCTAGACTTGGGAATCCGGCGCAGGCCAGCCGGTCCCCCACTATATTTACAGGGGTTTGGATATCCCGCATAAAGAAATTGTCTGGATCTTCCACTTTCATGTTGTTTATTGGAGTGCTAAACATGTCCTCATACTGCTTTTTTAGGATTTCACTCATTTCTTTGTCATCCTTCGTGTATGAACCTTCACTTGTACGAATAGGTCCAATACTGGCAGCGGATTTTGCTTTTGATTTCGCATATGTGAAGAAGTATTTTGGATTTTCTTTATTTCCTGAATTGCTTTCTGTTCTAACTGCCTTTCTTCAGTTTGATATGAGTGTTTCAATTTCCGCTCGATTTCTTCAATCTCCCTATTAAAATTATTCCTTCTTCGACTGGAAATTCGTGTCTGCATGAGCATTTCCGTTATTTTTTTTCTTCTTTTATAGTGTCGTCTGCATTCTCTTTCTACGTTGGATCTCTTTCTGGCTTTCCTCAAAGGAACATGTTTCAGACAGACTTGATACGCTTCCAAAGTCAGTTTTTCCTATTCCTTCTGTAGGGCTTGTATTACTTAGAACAGTTTCCCATGGAATGTTTGTAAGTTCCCTGTTTATTATCTCCCAGTCTATCCTTTTATTATTAAAATTGAATTTACTAAATAGCCCCTCTCGCTTTATCAACGTTTTAGGTCTATTCTGAGCCTCGGGGCATCTGACGTAGCAACCAACCTAGCGCGTTGCAACAACCTAAACCTAACATGCAACGCTTGTGCTGCCTGTACCCAAAGATTGTCATCACTAGACTGGGTAAACTGAGTCACCAGCAAGCAACAAAACTCGCAGGGCTCTGGGTCGAAGGTGTCACCGACTCAACAGGCAGCGCGACAGGGGCAAAAACAATGAGAGTCACCCAGAGACAAGGGGACAGAGCAACCCTCGAACTCGCACAAAGCGAGGGAGAACTCAGGGGTCACATCCATCGGACCCACACGCCCCCTTGGGGATCTTCTTATCTTGAAGTAATCTTGAAATGATTTCAGGGCTTAGTGTCCCTGCGGCCCGGTCCCCGACCAGGCCTCCTTTTTTGTTACACACCCCCAGGAAGCAGCCCATAGCAGCTGTCTAACTCCCAGGTACCTATTTACTGCTAGGTAACAGGGGCATCAGGGTGAAAGAAACATTTTGCCCATTTGTCTCTTCCTCCACACTGGGGATCGAACCCGGAACCTCAGGACTACGAATCCGAAGCGCTGTCCACCAAGCTGTCAGACGCCTTATTCCCAGGGTTCTGAGACGGAACTCATGTTCAGGGAAGCTCAGGCAGGGTACTGCTAATCGGCGCCCAAATCTATGAAACCACTCACTAAGAGCTGAACCCCCGGGACGTGTACACTCCCGGGGGTACCCCCCAGGAGTGTACCCCGGGGTTAGGGGGTGGTGCCCCCCCCTAACAGGGGGCACCACCTGACGAGAATTAGTACCCAGTAATCGTACTCAGGGGGGGGGACAACAACCAAGGCAGGCCCCCCCCCCACCAGGCAGGAAAAGAAAAAGAAAAAGAAAACCCCGCAAGATGACAGCGTACCCAGATGGAACAGAGCTGTGCAGTACCCTGTGTCCCGTACCCGTGCAAACTGCCCCTACTCTAAGGTAAACAAGGGAGACAAAACACCCAAGCACACAAAGGGCGGCCAAAAACCGAGCAGCAAATGGCCTAGCAGGGGCAGAACCCAAGGAACTTGTGGAAAGTGGCCTCAAGAACAGTACTTACTGGGCACCTAAGGGAGCCCTAGGCGCATGCAGCCCGAGTACTGAAGAAAATCTCTTCGCTTGCACACCACCTAGAAGACAGTCACCACACATAAGGCACAGTGCTGAAACAAACACTGGAGACAGAGCACACGACCTCTGCCTATAGCATCAGCCTCAGAACTGAGGAGTGGATGGCCAGTGTGGGGGTCTGGGGCTCCCCCTTCCCCCTCCTTGGGAGGGGGGGAGCTGTGCAGACGGGGGCAGTGTGTCATCAAGCTCGTTTGCTCGTTTCTGTTTGGGTAGTTCTATCCACTTGTTCGGCTTTTTGTAGCAATTTTCACCAGAATAGGAGTTTGTTTTGGGATGCTTACCTTTCTGGGTGCCTAACCTGGTCGATGGCAGACATAGAATGTTTCTAACCACACGAGGGTATCTACAGGCCATTGCTCCTCGTGCCTCTCTGAGGGGACCAGGTTCTGGCTCATGGTCCCCGGTAGGCCCACAGAACTCCATACACATGACTGATGCCAAAGTCTGACATTAGCATATCAGCCTGGATAGCTCTGGGGAGCCGACGGGGATCTCCCCAGAAAAAATATTACACAGTTTTCTTTTGCAAATAGAGTGGTAGACAAGTTAGATCATGTTTCGTGAGAAGGCGGTGGATGTCAAAATCGTCAGTAGTTTCAATGTGTCACATGACAAAATTGTACTGGAAAAATGGGACACCACGAGCACAGCTATCATCCTTTAACTACACTTTACTAATTACACTTAGGTAATTACATGAGCTTGGGTGTGTAGTCTTTAGGATTACTGTATTCTGTATGTTGTGTACATACAGTATGTATATACGTACATATACAGTATTGAGAAAATACTGAGGTCGAACAGAAACGAGTGTACAGTCCCAGCATGCCACCAATAGCATGCTGGGACTTCATAAATATATCAGATTTTTGTGATATTGTGAATTTGTAAATTCTATATATCCAGTGTATGCAGGGGATGGACACACACAGAGGTGAAGGGGGTTAATGGGAGGGGAGGGGGGGGTGAAGGGGGTTAATGGGAGGGGAGGGGGGTGACATGAAAGAGAAGAAAGGAGATAAAGACAAGGGAGATAAGGAGAGGCACCAACAAGATTTGTATTTTTATTAGATTTTACAGGTAAATAACTAGTTATGTTTCCAACAAAAATATAATATCAGGGCCACAAATACACCATGTTACAGCCATGGTAAAGGGTAATGATCAGTTACAAACATGGTAGAGGGTAATGATCAGGAGAAAGTGCCAAGCCATTACGACTATATAGCACTTGGAAGGGGGTGCGAGGATAAGGAACTGGGATGGAACGGAGGAAAGGAATGATGCCCAACCACTCGCACGGTCGAGGATTGAACAGTGACCGGTAATAAGCGAGACCATTGCCCTACCATCCAGTCTAAGTGGTTGGACGTCATGGTAAGAGTGACTCCTTATTCTTCTCGTGTCCTTACACAAAACAAAATACTTTATTAATTTGCAAAACTAAGCTAATAAATAATTACATGGGTAATATTACTGCACTCATACATTTCAATTATCACAGAAAAATATTTGTCTATGCAAGTATGTATGCATGTTGTGCATACTTTCATGCACACATGAGTACTTAAGAGCTATAATTTGGTCATTTTTATCTTTCTAAATATAGTGAACCCTCCAAAATCAAGAACATTAGACCAGAGCCATTCTGGGTTTATGTGGAGGTCTGGTCAAGGACCGGGCCGCAGGGACGCTAAGCCCCGAAATCATCTCAAGTTACTGTATGTGAAATATGGGTTTCCGAATGAATGTCCCCTTTTCTTTTTGGCTATTTGTCACTATATTTCTGGATTTTTTTAATCTTATAGCAAAGGATAAAGTTTCTGCACATTTAGACAATATATATATAATCAATTATAAATATTTTTTTATATAAATAATATGCATGAACAAATTATACAACATTAATTTTATTCACTTGCCTTTCTGTAACACAGCTGGTCTTGGTAAACCAGGTGCAGCAAAATATGTTTACGTATTGTAGAAGCTTCCTCACACTCGGAGCCACCCTAACTGGCCTTCAAGATCTCAATGCTCATGGTTTGTGTCATTTTAACGTCGGAAACATTACTAACCAATCACCTGGTCTCTTGCTTGCCTCCCTAGTCGTGATCATGCTTCTCTAATAACTCGGCTGTGTCAATGGCAAGGAAGTTTCATCTCTGCTTGATGTGCCCATGCTACTATTGCCAGATGGCATGGCCATGTCCACCAAGGGACATGGTGGACATGGCCATCATATACTGCTATCATATAATCAAAGAAAAGCCAGTATACTCATGTAAGAAAAACGTGTTTGGTACAAGTGCCCTCACAGCGAGTCTGGTTTCCCACAAAAACAGGGAACAAGTACATTTTTTGTACAACATGTTCAACACAAACACTGCAAAATATTTATAAAATACAAATGCATTACTGTATTGTGTATATTTAATGCAATACAGTATATAGAAATATTATAAAAAAGTATGAATGAATTTCTATGTTACAGGGAAATAGCGTGGCGGTCTGTACCTCACCCCCTCCTGGGGGGGTCCAGATTTTGTCCAAACAAATCTGTACATCCTCACACACAAATTCACACGACGGTATCATGATCACCCAAACATCCGAAGTGGTTGGGCTACTACCCTGTATCTCCCCCTCCTACACCTTTTATCCTAACCTCTGCTCTAGTCCTCCTGCATCCTTACCCCATCATTCACATGCCTTCTTACCAGCTCTATGGTTATCAGTTTCACGGATTCATCTCTACGTCACATCTACGGGGAAGATTTGGTTATGATGGTGGGGGTAATTTCTTTAAGTTTTTAGAAATCTGTTATATGCAGGTCTGGAGTTTGGAGGGTGTACTGTATTCTAATATTGTAAAGTACACACACACACATGTTTAAATATCCATATACCATGCTTATTAAATTGTGGAACAAAATTTGTATTACCTATATACAGTATATATTGTATTACCTAAGCAGTACTACCATGCCTTGAAACTTAATTAGGTCACGGTATAAATCTTCTGTTGCTATAAACCAAAATAAGCGTCACGACACTTGTATAAATACCAGTACCAGATATGTTTAGGAGTGTAGCAAACAAAACTGGAACTGACAACACCAGTGAAAAATAATAATTGTGCTCATGGTGCTAGAATGTAATGAAATTCAGCAGTAACGTCTATTTACAAGTTTTTAAATATTTAAGACAGAGGAAGACCTGTGCTGCCTTCAAGTACAATAAAAATTAACTTGGATCAACTGCTTATATTTATTATTTATGTAATGAAACTATTGTAATATGCGGAGAATGAGAATAGCCCGACCCACAAATTTGTAATGAAACGAGAGATGACATTTTGGTCTGCCATGAACCTCTTATCATGACTCAATAAGAATCAAGGACCAAAATTTCTTATTCTTCATTTCACTTTATATCTTGCATTTGGTTATTTATTTAACATGTTATGATGATCAAAGCTGGTGGTTATATTGGCATATTTGAAGTGATGTAATTTTCTGAGTAACGGTTAGAGGGAGGTGGTCCTGTAACACAGGTAGCTCACAACCGTATGGTCCTGGGTTTGATTCCCAATCAGGAGAAGATATACGGACAAGTGTTCTTATATCTGATGCTTTCATTGAACTGACAGCCAATATAGCAGCAAGTTAGAAGATTGTCGTGGGCAGAATCCACGGAAAAGTTTGTCGTCGGTCTTCTGGGACCTCGATATGCTTAAGAAACCAATACCCAACAAAACTAAATGAAATCCAATTTTGTTACGATTGCCTAACTCCTTGTGACATGGATTAGGTGTTTGCATAGAGAGATTCAAGCATACTGGGATTTATATTGATTATTAATGTAAACAAAAATTATTGTACTCAAATTTATATTTTCTATGTACAGTACAGAGAAGAAACGCCATCCGATAATGACGAGAGCCTCGGGGTATAGACAAAGTGACAAAGGAAGCCTATTTAAATTAAAACGAGGTAGGACAAAGTGACATCAATGAAAGCTGAACGAGCAATTATATGAAAGAGATGCAAAAAGGTTCTTGTTCCCTGTACAGGTGGTTGGCAAGTGGAATGCATTGAAGAAAGGGGTTGTCGAAACCAATAACATCAGTAACTTTTAAGAGAAATAGGATGAAAACAATGTTAAGAGGGGTAATCAGCATGTAATCATACTCTGCCTCCTAACCGCGTAAACGGTTAGGCGGCAGGGCACAAAGAGCTATGTCTCACTCTCCCATAGTCAGTGACAGGCAAGCAAACATACGCACGAGAGCGCACACATGCATAAACACGTGCTCATTCACATACACGCGTGCGTATTTTAGCGCATTTTCCACCGTAGATCTGGTTCAAGTACACCTAGCATATAAGGGCTAGTAAATTGTTTAGACAATGCTGGCAGGTGAGCTATCCATTGGATGCGAGAGAAGAGCTCTTGTTGAAGAGGCTGAGCTGACTGATGCATCCGATGACCTGCTGATGGCTGAAGCGTTGCTCAAGGGTGTACCAGGAAGAGAAACAGTGTCACTTTGATGAGTGACGTTTGATGCTCCTCCTCCTGGGGAAGCTGGAACTGACATGTCCGATGAACCACCATTTCGGCCGTGCCTTGGAGTCTGCAAAAAAATAATAATAATACAGTACAGTAATATATATACATCAGTAGAGTATTATTTTGATCAAAGCAAACTACAATACATTAAATCTACTACTGTACTATAAATTGTTAGTCCAATCAGTACTGTAAGTACTGTATAAGTGCTAAGCCAGAACGGCTATATAGCAGTACACATTTAAATCATAAGTACGAGTCACTGCAGTGGTTCACTCGACCCATTCTGCATAATGACCACCGTGATCCACCCTCTCTCTCTCTCCCATGTAACTATCAAGCCAACTGTTAAAGCTATACCATTCACTTCTATGATGTTGGATGGCTTATGCCAGTCATCTACCACCTGGAGGTTAGGTAGGGGATGTGGGCGGCATCCAGCGGAAGGTCAGGTGGTGGTCTAGAGGGGCCTTGATAACTGACAGGCTTCCTGGCCCAGAAAATCAAAACCACATCTAGAGTTAAACGGCACGAGTCGTGGTTACTTAAAACAAGTTCTCGGAACTTTTGCTCTTTGATATTTAGCCTTTTAAATAGAAATTTGTATGAATCAAAAGATAAAAAGTATTTGGGGGGGTCTGTTTTTTTTAGAATGTAGAACACAATTATTACTACAACCATTTATTTGTTATCATAGAAAAGACTAAATATAGCTCAAAATACTGTATACAAAAAACCAGCATTAAATGAAATAAGACTCCTCTTTGTGGAGTGGCTCTCCGTAGCTAACTACACTCAGATAGTCCTACACCTATGTCACATTAGCACTAGGAGTCCTTAATAGCCTTCCCAGAGACCAAAACCTACCACCCACCCCATTCCCCCCTCCCTCACAGATGTGTAGGGAGCAGGAGATTCATGATCACCCCACCAAAGAAACACCCCCCCCCCCACCCCAGCAAGTGATCCACTTGGTAAAAGACTCCTCAATAGCTCGGTCAACAGAGCTTGGGCCTCACACATGCAGGGGGTCCAGGGTGCAAGTCTCCTAGAGCCCGGGTGAGTGGACCCAGTCAGTAGTTAGGCCGTACTCTCCCTAGTAACAGCTGCCCACCAGCAGGTGGCAGCACCATGGAAGCTGCTGGCTCCCCATGTCAACGATCCTCAGTCCTTTGCCTTGTGTCAGACCACTCCGTAAGTTGCCAGCTCGTTGGATCCCATATATTCCTGGCATCCTCTCTCAACATTAATGTTTTAGCCATAATTTCCTCCAAAAGTTGTAGATGGAATTGGCTTCAACAACCTCTTCCTTCAATGCGTTCACTTGCCGACCAATCGTGCAAGGAAGGAGAACCGTCTTACATCTCTTCAACTCGACTGCATGTTGAGCTTCCACTGATATCCTCTTGTCCTACCTCCTTTTAATTTAAATAAGCTTCCTTTCTCAACTTTGTCTATTCCCCTCAGGTTCTTGTATGTAGTAATCATATCCTCTGTTTCTTTGCTCCTCTAAAGTTGTGAGGGTGTGTTCCCGCAAGCTGTCCTCATTGCTGAGGCCTCTCTTAATTCTGGTATTAATCTAGTTGCAAACCTCTGGACTTTCTCAAGTTTCTTTTTTTATGCTTCACAAGGTGTTGGTTCCATGTTGGTGCAGCATACTCATGTAATGGTCTCATGCAGGCAGTGTGTATAGACTTGAAAGCTTCCTTGTTTAGATTCTTAAACAAAATTTTAATGTTTACCGAATTCTCATATGCTGCTGATGTTATCCTGTTCACGTGAGCTTCTGGTGTTAGTGTTGGGATTATGTCTACTCCCAGGTCGTATTGTTTCTTATAATTGCCTTGCCCTTATGGTATAGATAAATACAGGTCTCCTATCTCCTTTTACACTTTTTTGGCATGAACTTATGTGGCCAGAGTCAAGGTGTTCTTGTAGTATCCTACAGTTCTCTTCAGTTCTTATGCTCCTCATTAACTCTGCATCATCTGCAAACATTGACATGTACGAAATCATCAGTAATTCAAAGTGTTATGTGACAGAGTGCTGAAAAGCCGGGACACCACGAGAGTAGCTCTCATCCTATGACTACACTTAGGTAATTACATTTAGGTAACTACAATCTCATTCCCTCTGCGAGTTCGTTAACAAATTTGAAAGAGCAATGGTCCTATGACAGAGCCCTGTAGAACACCACTTTCCATTACCCTCCAGCCTAACTTATCCTCTCTGACCAGGACCCTTTGTTTCCTGTCCACCAGTTACTCCTGTACCTAGTCTAGAGCCTATTCCTGTTATCCCTGCTTATCTCCCCATCTTGCATATTAGTATTTTGTAAGGAACTGTATCTAGAGCTTAATGGCAGTCTAGGAAGATACAGTTTAATCAGTCCTCCTCCTCTTGTCATAGAATTCAGTCAAGTTTGTTAAGCATGAGTTTCTCTCCCTGGAGCCATGTTGTGCCTCTGTTATAAAATTTACTCTCTCCAAATGTTCCACAATTCCTTTTCTGATGACTTTCTCCAATATCTTGCATGAAATGCACGCTAACAACCATAGTCTACACTTTAGTGCTTTATGTCTGCCTCCCTTTTCTTCAATATGGAACTACTGTACATTTGTCTTTAACAGATTTCTGTTCTCTCCCATCTTGAGTGCCGAAACGAATCAAATATAGGTCAAAACACCCCATTGGGTGAGCGGAGAAGTGTGGAAAGGGGAGAGAGCTAGTAGGGGTGAGAGGAAGGGTTTTTTAGGATGAGATAAAGTGCCAGGGGCTAGACCCAGCTACATGGCGTGAAAGCATTATGTCCAGACTCGAGTGTAATGATGGACACTATAGTTAATGGGTGACAAGATCCCTCCAGCTTCCTTCAGTAACCATGGTGATACCTGGTCTGGTTCTACTGTTGTTGTTACATCCAGTTACTCCTCATGTTACACCATCTCGGTGCACCTAGCTACAGGGAGCCACTCGGGTCCAACCAACAAGAGGCGTTTCATTACAATCAACGCTGGTCTTCCTTAGCATCGGTAATATCTTACGGTAAAGATGGTTTTATGTGCATTACGAAATCAGCATAATTTTAGGTGCACAGTTATGGGGGTTAAGAGATGTAACGCAGGTGACTAATATATATATATTAAAGCTACAACTGACTAATATATACATATTAAAGCTACAACTGACTAATATATACATATTAAAGCTACAACTGACTAATATATACATATTAAAGCTACAACTGATTAATATATACACATATTAAAGCCATGTCAATGCACAGCAAATTTACACAAACAGGAATTCAAAGAACTAATCTTTAATGACAAATTGTGTAGAAATGGAATTGTCAAAACTATAAAATGAATAAAAGAACTATAAATAAATTTTTAAGGCAAGCAGCATGCAGAACAACAGACCACCAAACAAGTGAAGGAATATTCTCCGCTCTCCGGCAGAGATCACTGCACACACAAACGATGCACTCAAGTATAAACAACCTCTCTCATTAGCAAAAAAAAAAAAAAGACATTAATTTCTGTGTAAAAACGAGCATCAATAGTACTGATGCACATACACAGTACAAATGCACTTTTGGGTACATGTGGATGGCTGCTGCAAATTCAACTTTCCCAGCACAATCTGTCAAACATGCCAAACCAACACCAAGATACCAAAGTACATTATAATTTTCCCCCTCCTATCAGGTAACCTTCTATAAACTTTAAATATATTAAATAATTTTTTCCACACTTGTGGTATGAAATTTAATTCCTGTACTGCCATGGTACAGTCAAGTACCATGGGCTACTACCATGCTACTAGAATAAAAAAAACGGCATTGAATGTAATGCAACGCTATTTTCTGGGTGAGTTCTGTCGGCTCCCTGGAGCTATCCAGGCTGATATGCTAATGTCAGACTTTGGCATCAGTCATGTGTATGGAGTTCTGTGGGCCTACCAGGGACCACGAGCTAGAACCTGGCCCCCTCACAGAGGCACGAGTAGCAATGGCCTATGGAAACCCCCGTGTGGTTGGAAGCATTCTATGTCTGCCATCGATCTGGTTAGGCACCCAGAAAGGTAGGTGTCCCAAAACAAACCCCTATTCTGGTGAAAATTGCTACAAAAAGCCGAACAAGTGGATAGAACTCCCCAAACAGAAACGAGCAAACGAGTATGATGTCACACGTCAGTCTGCACCGTCGTCTGCAAAGCTTCCCCTCCCCGGGAGGGGGAACCAAACCTTCGCGCCAGCCCTCAGACCCCTGTGCCAGCTATCCACCTCTTAGTTCTGAGGCTGGACATAAAAAAACGGGGAAAAACTGCCGACCGGGGAAAGGGAGAGTTGCTGGGACTCGCTCAGAAATTGGCGTTTCATTACATTCAACGCTGGTTTTCTGTGGAAAACCTGTCGGCTCCCCGGAGCTACCTACCCACAGATAAAAACCATAGGGACTTACCTGGGAGGCAGTCGCTGCTCACCCCTTAACGCAAAATCGAGACAACTAGCTGCAACCACCAACCCAAAGCGACACAGGCCTGACTAGGCCCAGGAACGTTTACCAAGTAACGTGCAGCCAGTACCCTGTTCGATCTCCAAAAACCTCGCGCCCGAATGTCAACCCAGGACATATTACCAAAGACAGCAAACTTGCAAACATCATGGGCACAGCGATAGACCACAGTCTGGCTAGATTGAATAACCCTGCGGACGACCTTGAAGACCCCAACCCTGGAACAGGGAAGAAGGGAAACCAGATCAACCCAAAGCACATGCCCGGTTACAGAGTTCGTGGCGCGCAATTAACGGCGAAGCGCCACAACTGGACACAACACATGATGCACCCCCGGCCTGACGAATCAAGCATCAACAACCCAAGGACCCCTCCGGAAAGCAGCAGTCTCATTCTTCTCCAGAAAAGAAGGAGACGGCTGCAAACGAACAAACCTACCGCCAGGACCAAACGAGCAGAAACCGCAGCGCCGGAGGAGAGCATGAAGCTCCCCAACCCGAGCCCCAGAGGTCAATGCCAACAAGAAAAGAGCCTTAGAGAAACA